CTCCTCTCGAAGTTCGGCCAGCGGAAGGCCACCACAGCCGCCTCCGCCCCCGCAGCGTCCTCCGTCCCCCCCAACGCCGATAATGTCGTCTCCTGCAGCCGCCCCCGACAAGGAGACCTTAAAACTCCTCCTCCCGCTCCGCTACGATGGCAAGACCGTCATCGAATGCAACCGGTTCCTGTCCCAGTTGCGCATCTACTGGCTGGTCAACACGTCATTGACCACCATCGAACTCAAAGTGCAGGTCGCACTTAGCCTGCTCGATGGAGACGCCCGCGCCTGGGCCACTCCCTACTTTGCCCAGCTTGCATCAGTGCAGGTGGGGGTGCAAGGGGCCACGACCCCATTCGCAAACGAAGCGGCCTTTGCCGCCGCCTTCAGGGCCCGCTTCGGAAATATCGACGACGAGGCGGCAGCACAAGTAGAGCTGGCAAAGCTCTGCGCGGACAAATCGGTCCGTGAAAAACGCACTGCAGCGGAGTTCTCCGCGCTATTCAAGGGTCCGGCGGATCGCTCTGGGTATGGGGACCTGGAGCTACGCGACAAGTACCTGAGCGGCATCCCCTCCCGCGTCTACCGAAAAATCGAGCTCGAGACCTTCACCACGTGGCAAGCAGCTGAGAAGCACGCCACTGAGGTCGAGCAAATCCTCGACATCAGCCGAGCCCGTCGGCCCGAACTAAATAACTTCTTCTCAGCCCGAGGTCGAGGACGCGGTGGGGCACGTGGTGGTGCACCCTCAACGCATGCAGCTTCGGCCAGCATCAATGCGGCCGTCGGAAAAGGCAACTTCCCCGGCACATGCTTTGGCTGTGGGAAGCAAGGGTACCGACGCTTCGAGTGCCCCAATTGTAAGGATAAGCCTTACACAAAACGCGCCGACGCGCGGGCTACGGTCGCCTCGGGATCCACCCAGGCGGCGACAAGCGCCCCCGTCACGACAACACCCTCGGCAAGTATAAGTGCCGCTTCAGCGAAATCCGAGCAATCGGAGCTGGCGGACTTGATGGCACAGGTGAAGTCGATGCGCGAGGAGCTCGAACACTATCGAGCAATGAAGGAGGAGGGTTTTTAATCCGGTCCGCGCTTCGTGCCGCACGCGTCGGGCCGCGAGTATCATCATGTAATAAGTATAACGTATTGTCAACTGCGATGGTGTACGAATTGGACCAGGGGTCCCAACATTTTCACATCCCAGTTCGACTTCAAGGGAAAAGACGGCACAAGGACGTCATCGCTATGGTGGACAGCGGGGCCACCACGAAGTTCATTAACAAGCGATTCATTATCGAGAATAAGGTGCAAACGCGGAAGTTGAAGGAACCAATTCCGCTGTACAACATTGACGGCACCCTGAACAAGGACGGAAGCATCTCAGAGGTAGCAGTGCTACAGATGCATATAGGAGAACACGTCGAGAAGACGGTGTTCACGGTCACGGACATCGGTCCGGAAGATGTGATTGTCGGGTTGGATTGGCTACGCGAGCACAACCCTGAAATAGATTGGGAAAAGGGCTCCCTCAAATTATCGCGATGCCCTGAAACATGTAGCGCCAGAAGGACTGGCCGAATGGAGCAAGCAGCAACTGCGCGTGATACGGGGGTCAGGCCCACGGCGCGCAGGCGTTCGCCGAAATCCAAACGGTCGGTCATAGGTGCATGCCGGAGTAAGGTGCTCCCGGACTTCGAACCCGAAGACAATCCGGTGGAGATAGAGTGGGACGAAGCTGACTTGATCGAGGCTTGGGAGCAAGGTGTCACGCTTCCCGGCGCTCCTCAGCTGTTCGTTGCGGCAGGACATACATACTCCCAGCTGTTCGCGGAGGAAGAGATCAAAAAGAAGGTCGTTAAAACCGCCGAGGAGTCGGTGCCTAAACAGTACCACGAGTTCCTGAATGTCTTCTCCAAGGAGGCATCAGAACGGTTACCCGAGAGGAAGCCGTATGATCATGCGATCGAACTCGTGCCCGGCTACTCGACCTTCCATTCGAAGGTATACCCGTTGTCGAACAACGAGCAAGAGGAACTGGACAAGTTCCTGAAGGAGCAGTTAGCGAAAGGCTACATACGGGAGTCGAAATCGCCCATCTCGTCCCCCTTCTTCTTCATCAAAAAGAAGGAAGGGACACTTCGACCCGTGCAGGACTACCGCCGATTAAACGCGATCACGGTCAAAAATCGTTACCCCTTGCCGTTGATCGCCGAAATGGTGGATAAGCTCCGCGGCGCCACGCTCTTTACGAAGTTCGATGTCCGATGGGGATACAATAACGTCCGGATCAAAGCCGGTGATGAGTGGAAGGCGGCTTTCGTAACTAACCGGGGGCTGTACGAACCCCTGGTAATGTTCTTCGGTCTCACCAATTCCCCCGCGACCTTCCAAGCGATGATGAACGAGATCTTCCACGATCTCATCATTGGTGGCAAGATCCTCGTATACTTGGATGACATACTCATCTTCTCCACCAACAAGGAGGAGCATGAAAAGGTCACACGCGAGGTTCTGCGCCGCCTTCAGGATAACGATCTGTTCCTGAAGCCTGAGAAGTGCGAATGGGATGTTCCCAAGGTTGACTACGTCGGCTATGTGTTCGGTGGCGATGAGGTAGCAATGGATCCCGCGAAGCTAAGAGGAATTAATGAGTGGCCGGTACCCCGGAACAAAAAAGATGTTCAGAAGTTCCGGGGGTTCTCCAATTTCTACCGCCGCTTCATTAAGGACTTCGCTAAGATCTCGCGACCACTCGACCGACTCACAGGGAACGACCCATGGCATTGGGGCGAGGAAGAGCAGCGCGCCTTCGACGAGCTCAAGCGGCTCTTCGCGACGACTCCCGTCTTAGCGCTGTACGACCCTAATCGGGAAACGCGCATTGAAGTCGATGCCTCGGGGTACGCCACCGGCGGCGTGTTGATGCAGAAGCAGGACGACGGCAAATGGCACCCTATCGCCTACCGATCTCACGCTATGGACCCAGCCCAGCGTAACTATGAGATCTACGATAAGGAGATGCTCGCGATCATTGAGGCACTGGATGATTGGCGCCACTATCTCGAGGGGTTGCCTAACCAGTTCGAGATCGTAACCGATCATAAGAACCTCGAGTACTGGCGTACATCCCAGCATCTCACGCGTCGTCAAGCGCGGTGGTCGCTCTTCCTGGCTCGCTTTGACTTCCGCATCACGCACAAGGCCGGAACGTCGAATGGAAAGGCTGATGCCCTGTCGCGTCGATCAGACCATCAGATCGGCGATGAGGACGATAACACCGATCAGGTGGTTCTCAAGCCAGAGCGCTTCCGCATCGCCTCCGCCCGGCGCGGTCATGCCTCGGTGACGGCCGATCAGTCGCTTCTAAAGCGCATTCGGGAGTGTTCGGAGAAGGATCGGGAGGTGGCCGAGGCACTTGAAAAGGTGCAGGACCTCGGGCCGCCCCGGCTGCAAAGGGGTTTTGAGGAATGGAATGCCGAACAAGGGCTTCTGTTGTTCCGCGGGTGCGTGTACGTCCCAAAGAACGCGGAGCTCCGGCGGGATATCGTCAAGATCCACCACGACTCGCCGATCGCCGGTCATGGTGGTCGTGCCAAAACCCTGGAGCTCTTATCGCGGAACTACTGGTGGCCGGGAATGTCCAAGTTTGTCAATGAGTACGTAAGCACCTGCGATGTGTGCAACCGTACCAAGACATTCCCAGCCAAACCCCAGGGTCCGCTGAAGCCGAATGAGATCCCCGAGCGCCCGTGGCAGATCATCACGACCGATATGATCGTCGGCTTGCCGAAGTCTGATGGGTTCGATTCGATCCTGGTCACCGCCGACCGCTTCACAAAGCAGGTCCACTTCTCAGCCTGTCATGAGACCCTGACGGCAGAAGGTGCGGCAGATCTGTACATCCGCGACGTGTTCAAGCATCATGGGGCCCCGGCCAAGGTCATATCAGACCGAGGTCCCCAGTTCGCTTCGAAATATCTCCATGCGGTGTACAAGGGTCTGGGAATCGAGCCGGCGCTGTCCACAGCGTTCCACCCTCAGACAGACGGCCAGACTGAGCGCTGGAATCAGGAGATCGAACAGTACCTGCGCGCTTTCACAAGCCACAGGCAGGATGATTGGGCAAAGCAATTGCCGCTCGCGGAGTTTGCACTGAACAACCGAGTTCACTCCGCGACCGGGCACTCCCCGTTCTTCCTGCATCAGGGGTACAATCCTGAGATCCAGGTTCGGATCAATCCGATGTCTGCGATGCCTGCGGCCGCTGATCGGCTCAAGATCCTGAAGGAGATTCGCGACGATACGCGCTCTGCGCTCGAGCTGTCGGCCGAGCATATGAAAGTGTACTACGATAAGCACGTGCAACAGGCACCGGTCTTTGCACCGGGGGATAAGGTCTGGCTTGACGCTCGGAACCTTAAGCTGAAACAGCCGAGCAAGAAGCTCAGTCCCAAGCGCCTCGGACCTTATGCCGTGCGGCGAAAGCTCGAAGACCTGGATTACGAATTAATCCTGCCGAAGTCGGTGCCGGTACACCCGGTGTTCCATGTCTCCTTGCTTAGCAAGTACACGCGTAGCGATATCCCGGGCCGGGAGCCGGAGGAACCGCCTGCGATCGAGGTTGAGGGCGACGAGGAGTACGAGGTTGAGCGGATCAAAGATTCAAGGATCTTCCGGCGTCAGCTGCAGTACCTCGTCAAGTGGAAGGGTTATGACGATTCGCATACGTCATGGGAACCGGCGCGCAACGTTGCCAATGCGCCGGCCCTCATAGCCGACTTCCACCGGAAGAACCCGAACGCCCCTCGCCGCCTCAACGCTACTACCTTTGGTGGTCTCAACTTTCAGCCAATGCCTTCGCCGCTGACTGAAGCACGATGCCGCTCCGGATGGGAGATGGGCAAGGGCGCCTCGCATGAGGTCATGCGCCGTTGAGGGGGGGGTAATGTCACGAGTTGGTACGGCGTCTAGCCGTTTTTTAATTTTTCCTTTTCGCGGGCTCGAACCCGCGACCTCTGTACTACTTGCCCGATACGGACACATCGTTATCTACTGTACGATCAGATTAGATAGGACGGCAGTGCACGGCACAGCTCGGGCCCCGCTGACGCAGCCGCTCTGACTCACCGGCCCCCGGGGCCGCGTCGGCATGCTGCGCACAGACCAGCTGCGCACGGACCAACGCGCACAGCCTGCCCTAAATCCTCCCATGTATATAAACCAGCCTCTGCTGCCCTAGGGACCTCAGTTTCGACCTCTTGTCCCTAGGTCAGTAAGCTCTCCTGTACTTACTTCTTTTACTTACTAACTAATACATTCTTGTCCCTAGCCTTAGGTTTGAGCCTCGCTCACCATCGCTTCGGTGAGAACCAGTCGGACGCCCCTCGCTTCTAGATATCTCCCTGTCGCTTGACCTCAAGTCGCGACATTAGGTCGAAACTCTCCCAAGCGACCGGCGTTCCTTCAGAACCCACACACTCACACTCTCCTTTCCCACAGGTCGGGTGGTGCGCACCCCTACGATACTTCACGGTACATACGATACGTAGATAGCTTTACTATACATCGCCAACCCTCGGGGAACGAACTCTTCAACACCTGCACTTCAGTGGGCGGTGTTTGTCCTCACGGACGCGTGGACTAGGTTCCTGCTGCATAATAGTCAAAAGCAGTACTGGGCCCCACGTGAACTGCGAACCTCAGGGTCTTCTCGGGCGCCGTAGCGTAAGCTAGTGTAGTACGGCCATTTTAGTACGCGCACCTCCCCGTCCTCCCCCCATCCATCGTGGCTGCCTGCCAAGGCCAGATCCACGCATTCGACTCCCAGGACCTCATCGACGTCTACATCCCAGACGGCCCTGAGACTGTCCTCTACCGTTGCGAGCAGCAGCCGTGCCCAAATCGGACACCCCGATCGATCGAGGAAGATTACCCTCG